TCCAATGTCATGTTTTCAAATGATAGCTTCATCAATTCATTCCTCCAATTAATTAATATGTTAAAAGTTGCAAGAAATGGACGTCCTAAAATAATAGGAAATGAATTACATGCTTCAACAGGTTCTGTGTCCAAGATAACAAAATCCATAAGATAAATGAATTTATCGACTTGTACTAACACATCTTCGACTATTCCTCTAGGCACTTTTACAGATCTATCGGCAAGTAAAAGAGTTACAAAAGTTGGTTTTAACTCACCTAGATTGAGACTTTGGAAAATTAAATATGGAAGTAAATTCACATTGGCTCCAAGATCAAGTAAGGCTTTTTCAATTTTATTTTCTCCAATAAAACAATAAATTATAGAACAACCAGGGTCTTTATATTTCAAAGCATTATTGTTCTGAAGAATAACACTTACTTGTTCGGCAAAAAAGGTTTTCTTTTTCACATTCAGTTTCCTCTTTACTATGCATGGATCTTTCAAAATTTTAGTATAGGAAATACCTATTTAATAGCATCCAGCAAAGGTATATTGGTCATGGCATGAGGAAATGGAAGTGTTGGCAGGGAATCAGTCGTTTCTTTGTAATTTTCAGATTTAACCCCTTCCTTACCCTTAGAGATTGACTCATCATCTCTCACAAGGTTCAAGAGTGGGTTTTTTAATAACCTTACCACTACGAAGAGTAGTGACTGATTTGACTTGATCCATGTGTTGACTTTCGGAACTACTTGTATTTGCATTGTATTGACCCTTGGGATTTTGTTGTGGTTGAGATAGAAACTTACCTTTCTCTTGGAAAATGAGAGCAAATGTCAATTTTGCAAGAGTATCTTTAAAATCTGTCATGTTTTGAGCAAGTTGAGTATTGATTGTCTCTTGTTTCTTAATGAATGCATGCAATGTTTCCTCAAGATTTCTTCTAGGAGGTGGAGCATAAGGAGGTGCATATCCATGAGAATTTTAGAAATTATGGTGTGCTTGAAATGGTGGTTGTGAAGTTTGTACATTGATATTATCACTCTTCCAACTAAAATTTGGGTGATTTCTCCAACAAGGGTTGTATGTTTGCGAGTATGGGTTGTGGTTGGCCCTTTGGAAACTGTTTAAAGCATGAGCTTGTTCATAGAGACATTCCTTAAAAGAAGGCAAGGTTGGACTATTATGGGTTGAGTGTTCATTTGTTTCACATATTTGATATATAATGTTTTTAACAGATTTTAATTGAGCACTCTTTTTCAATTCTAGTGCCTTAACTTTTTTAGCTAAAGATGCAAACTTAGCTTGGAGGTCATTATCTTCCCTAAAGTTGTACATACCTCTACTAGATGTATGAGGTTGAGTTTTACTCAGTACCTTATAAGTACCCACGGTATCCTAATTTTGAGCATTTTCAGTTAACAAGTCTAAGTACTCAATTGCTTCATCAAGGTCTTTATCTTCAAAAGCTCCATTGCATATCAATTCAACCATTTGCCTATCTCTAGGTGTTAACCCTTTATAAAAATATGAAACCAATCGCCATGTTTCAAAACCATGATGAGGGCAAGTATTAAACCAATCGTCTCCTCTTTCTTATGTAAAAAATTCAGCTCATTTGGACTTCTAGAACTCCATATATGGGCCAAACACTAAACAGTGCTCGGGCTGGAAGACAGATTCCGACTTCTTTGTTGTTGCTCTAATTTGGACTTGCAAAATGGTCTTTTTAAATCTTGGGCTCCATATGAAAGTTGTAGGCTTATGTCTTACCTTTCCATCCATATAAATTGGACCTAAATCTGAGATCTACAGCTCCAGATATGACCCAATTACCGAATAGTGTTTCGGTATGGACTACACCGGCATCTCTTTTTTAAGTTTGACCATCTCTTTGTCCTTTCTATTTCAGTTCTTAAATTCATCAATCAATCCTTTCATTTATGTGATAGACCTACATTTAAAATGAACATTTACCATAAATTAAAGGTATCTTATAGTATTAGATATATTATTATAAAATATGCTTTAGTTAAGGAGTTATTGATATTTCAAGTGCAAAAATGATGATATAAAACCTTGATAAAAATGCACTTTTAAGTATTAATCACTTGTTAAATGACTAATCTAGATTTATGTTGTATAATACTTGGTACAACAAATACTTGGCATTTTTATAGCCCATATTGTATGGTATAACCGACACTTGACTTATGAAAGTAACTTGATTTGTTATTAATATAAGTTATAATTATGAATGCCTGACAAAATTTACAACTAACAAAATTTACAAGTATTAGAATTATTCGAATAAGATAATTAAAGATAATTTACAAAATTGTTATCTTGTTAACAATTTATAATTTGATTGGAACCTCCTTTGTGTATGGTTTCTAATTGAATAATAAAAGTTTATACTATACTTGTTTGATATACCATTAGTGGATCCTTTAACCTTGACATTTGTTGTTATCATTATTTAATCCATATGTTAATATTTCATCTCAAAGTTCTCATCAACTTGTTCTTCTTCTTCTTTATTATTATTATTATTGTTATTATTGTTATTATTGTTGTTGTTATTGTTGTTGCTATATTATTGTTATCTATAATTTATATAATTAACCTCCATGTAATTCGACCCCGGTTTTACCGAGTTATTTATTACTTCGACACTCTTGTACTTGAAAAAAAACATCAATTTTTTTATCGTGTCAAATAGTTTTATTGTGCTTTAAAAAAATAATAAAAAAAGAACTTTACCTACAATAATTCAAGTAATAATAAGTGAATATTGTGAGAAGATTAAAATATCTTCATCAAGGCCATTTGATTTTTTTAGAAGAGCAAAATGATAATCACATTGTATTCATGAATAGTAAAATATGTCTCAACAATTTTTTCATTAAAATAATATTTTTTGTTCATTAAAAAACTAGATTTTTCTTTATCAACTTCATAATAACAAAAAAATCATAATAAAAAAATAAAAAATTCTTAGAATGCAAAGTTTACAAAATCTTGATTTTAAAGATAATAGTCATTTTACTATATAAAAAAATAAAATGAAAAAAAAACCACTTTAATGTCTTATCTAATTTTATTTTTTTAAAGAGTAAATGTATTATTCCACATTGCTTTAAAGAAATAGAAAGACATCTCTACCTCTAATTAATTCATTAATGATCAATAAATTTTATTAAAAGATTAAAATACTCCCGAAACCATGACCATTGATTTTTTTAGAAGGAAAAACGGTAATTACATCATACAAATTAACAGTAAACTTTATCATACAGTAATTTTTTTTTTTAATGTTTGTTGATAAGTAATCTTTTTTTTTTTTTTTTAAGTAATCTTGATTTTTTTTTTTTTTTTAGATTAACGTGGGTGTCCGGGCCAGCTTGCGCGCACCACGACTAATCCCACGGGCCCTGAAGTTAACGACCATGTAAGCCTCCAGTGGCCATCATATGAGTAACCAAGGACTCGAACCTGAGACTACAGAGGGAGCAAACCCCTTAGTCCCAAGTCTTTACCACTTGGCCACCACCAGAGGGAGCAAACCCCTTAGTCCCAAGTCTTTACTACTTGGCCACCACCTAAGTAATCTTGATTTTAGTAAAGGTTGTAGGAAGAGTACCACTGCCAATACATGTAGCAATATTGTTTTATAAGAAAATGATACAGGAAAACTTTTCAGGGATATATGGAAATTGCTGCTATATGAGCTTATTGTTTTATATCATGTCTTACCTTTATTTTCTTTTCGTTACATTAATAATGGTGTCGAGGTATTTACTTTACTACAAAATGACAAAATCTGTACCGCTATCATGCGTCCTTCCAATTATTTAAAGTAACGAGAATCCCCTTTTGTTTTTCCAATCAAATTCACTTGAGAAAAATGTTCGCTTACAGCCACGAATTATATACACAAGCTAAAGACAATTAAAACAAAAAGGAAAAATATTATTTATTATCAAATGAGCTATTTTCAAGAAAGAGCTCCTATATTTTTTAGAAATGTATATATAGTTAAATTCTGAATTTCATCATGTAAACAAGCTACAATGGAGTTGCTTTGGAGCTCTTTCTTAGTTTAGTGGATTCAATATGCATACTCATGAGCTACCCTGAAAATTAAGGATATTGGCGATGGGTATGTCCTCTCAAAGTGTCAAATAATTATTTACTGATTTTTTAATTAGGTTAAGTTAGCCCAGTTGGGAACCCTTTCCATATTATTTTAGTTAATAACCCATTTGAGGAATCTCCATATATAAAATCCAAACCTAGCAGCTATGACAAATCACATGTTCATGATATGTAGCAGAAAGAATGGAATGGAAGGTCTAAGAAAGAATGGAAAGGGAATTTTTTTGATCCAAGGGAAACCAAAATAGATAATTTTTCTCAGGAGAATTTGCAGAGAATCTCGTAGATTGAATTAAATATAAATTTAAACTTTTTTGTATTGTTGGAACCTGGTCCATCCAGAGACCTCTCCCAATAATTTAAAGAAAAAACAAATTCAAGCTATGAATACGTTTATAAAGTGAAAAAAAAAAAAAAAAAGAAGCATAACATTGGGAGCTTGGTTTGTCATTTTGTCTTTGATTTGTTGAAGATAAAATGAAGAGCTTTTGTTAATCCAAGAAGAGTGAAAACAACTTGGTTTACATATCTCAAAAGACTGCTATTTTTGTAGTCTCTTGAGATCCTTAAATTGGATTTAAGAGAGAGCAAGTTAAGAGGTGGCTCCATTAAAAACCACAATTTCCTTTTAACAAGTCGTGAGCTTAAATAGCTATAGCTCAGCTCGAATATTTCTTACAAAGTCATCGTGATTGTCGCAGAAACACACTCTCCATTGCAGTCATCCTCAAATGGCGGCCTAAGCTTCGGAGGCAGAACCCTTCTCAGGAAGCATATAGAATTTGGTTTTTAATTAAGTAAAAACTCAAGTACTTCTCTTCTGTTTACTTGTAGCTCTCTTTTAAGTTTCATGTTCCTCACAGCTTGAGGTAGCTCCACTCCTACGTACTGTTACAATAAACAGTTTCTGAGATTATCAATATTGGGTTTGGATTAGTTTCTCCAACAGCTTCTCCAATTTCAAGATTTAAGAACACGATTAAACCTACTTCTCCTACTTAGGTTCACTTCATATTTAGATTCAAGTACTGCATCTAATTATTTTCTCCACCTCACCTCTCCCTAGATTTAGTGTGTTACTTCAAGGTCAAGGTTTAGAAAGAAGTGAGAGGAGGAAGATGGACGAGAAGAATGATGTTGACAAGATTGATGATGTGATGTTGCCTGGATTTCGGTTTCATCCAACTGATGAAGAGCTAGTTGGGTTCTATCTCAAAAGAAAGATACAGCAGCGATCTCTTCCTATTGAGCTGATTAAGCAAGTTGATATTTATAAATATGATCCCTGGGATCTTCCAAGTAAGGAACGGATCACTTAACAATTTTCTTCATTTTCTTTCTTTTGGCAACTGGTTTGATTTAGGGCTGAGTAATTAGTTTTTGCATGCATGTAAAACAAACTTGTTTTCCTCTCCCTTTTCGTCAGTGTAGGAAATTTCCTTGCTTCTTTCTTCTGAAAGCATATCTAGTCCGTAAGTTAAGGTGCTTTCATTTGAATGCTTTTCATGTTTGGAAGATTCTTTTGTCAAGCTTTCATTAGGAAGCAAACAAAATTTCAGCATCATGATTTTAACTTGTAAACTTTTAAATAAATATTACTATGACATTATTGTATACTTTATGCCAAGCTTGGCATATGGAGTAGTTCATTCTAAATATTTCAACTTATTTATTAAGTAGTTTCTTGATCTCCTTTTTTCTACAAGAAGAGCTGGCAACTACAGGGGAGAAAGAGTTGTACTTTTACTGCCCAAGGGACCGTAAATACAGGAACAGTGCAAGGCCAAATCGAGTTACGGGAGCTGGGTTTTGGAAGGCGACTGGAACAGACCGTCCCATTTATTCCTCTGATGGCAGCAAGTGCATAGGTTTGAAGAAGTCTCTGGTGTTCTACAGAGGGAGAGCAGCTAAAGGGATCAAAACTGACTGGATGATGCACGAGTTTCGGCTACCTTCTCTTACGGAACCATCACCACCAAAGAAGCTCCTAGACAAAAGCCTTCCTGCAAATGTAATGCTATGCGTGCTTCAGTACTGTACTCCAAATTATTTACTGTTCACTTTCTTCTCGATAAGAAACGACAACTACTACTACTACTAATAATAATAATAATAATATTTTTCTCCTATGATTGTAGGATGCGTGGGCTATTTGTAGGATATTCAAGAAAACCAATTCCATGGCACAAAGAGCTCTTTCTCACTCTTGGGTCTCTCCATTACCAGACACTACTGCTTCTGATTTATTTGCTCAAGGGGCACAATTCCCTCAGCTCTGTTCAGAGAACATGTCTTGCGTAACTGAAATAGGATCAAGTTTCCATATAGGCTCCAGTAGTGACTTTCAGCAGGCCTCTTCTGCTAGTTTCTCTGTTCTAGACATACCCTCTTACAAACCTATTAATCCCGCAGTCTATAAATCATATCTATGCCCTGTATCAAATGGTGACCTTTCCAACAACTTCTTATGTTCACAACTCGATATTTCTGGTCCCATAAAGGCTACAGATGATGCTCATTCCATGCTCTTGAACCCTGCCTTGATAGGTGAAGCAGGTAAAACTTCTGAGAGCATAGAATATGAAGGGTCACAGCAGCAGTTCAATGGATTCTCGATCAATTTGCTACAAGAAATGCAAGCTAATACGGGTACAGGAGATGATGAGGCAGGTTTTAGGAAGAATCGAAGTTCAATTCATGAAAATAACCTGGTGGGGACTATTCGATCGATTGGATTTCCCTTCGGCTTGCCTTCACACTTGGCTGATGCGTGGAAGTCTAATCTGGTATGGGATTCACCATCCTGCCTCAGAGAGATGTCCGCCACTTATTCCACAAACAAATGTAATACTTAAATCCTCTAATAATACGCGGAAGAATTATGGGATTTAGGTAGCATTTTTAATTTCTCTAGAATAGTTTCCAAATATATTCAGGCTCTGAATGATTAGTGGAACTAATAGCTAGCCTCAGAAATGTATCTTGTGTTCTTGTTTACTGTACAGTTTTCATATTTTCCAAGTATACAACTCTAGGCTAATAAATTTATCTTATTTTATGTTCATTTCATTGTTCTTATCTCTCTCTCCCCTTTCACCTTCTTTCCCTTACTTAGCAGAGAAGTTCATCACAAATACGCTATAAAAGACAACATCATTTGATGGAACCCAGAAAGAGAATCAGACTAGATTACTAAATTGCTAAATAACTCTCCAATTTAGGTTGGAGATAACACCATGATTACAATTAAATTCTCCCCTAAACTACTTGTCCTGAAGACTTAATTAAAGGAATCAACCAAAGACTATCTCCCTAATAATCTCAACTAACCTCTAAACATACTTAAAAAAATTTCCTAACCCTACTCGTAAAGACAAGCATCTGGTTCATGACTTCCTTTTGAATAGCTCCAGCTCCAACATTAATATCCTTCTGACTCGATCTTTCCTGTTCTGCGGTCAACACATCAAGATATCTTGGATTAGGCTTCCTGAGTCTTCGGGATCTATCATTTGCCGCCCCTGGGACTTCGACCTTGCCCTCAAGGTTGAACGCGGAAAATTAATTCTCCATCGGTTTAACGGATTCCCACGGAGCTTCCTCCTTAGGCAGATATCTCCAATGAATTAATACCTCAGCTTCTAGCCTGCTCCCTTGCTTCACCCAGATATGGGCTCCAACACCAAAAACCCATCTTCAGAAACTGGTGGTGTTGTGCTTTGAGAAACCTCCCATTCTCCTATGATGACTCCACCGCTTGGGTGCTTGACTGGACAGGCAATGAAGGTATTGCTGAAGCTTCGGTTTACAACTTTCTTTTGTGCGTCGGTTTACGGATGGTATGCCAATGACCTCTTGAGTCGTGTCCCTTGCAACTTATAGAATTCTTGCCAGAAATTACTAGTAAATAAAGCACCACGATCACTAATAATAGTGTGAGGAATACCATGGAGACAAGCTACATTTTCCACATATACTTCCGCTATTTTCTTGGTTGTAAAGCGGTGGTTAACACCAATAAAGTGAGCATATTTCGTCAATTGATTCATCACCACAAATGTGGCATTCTTATCATTGGAATTAGGTAAGCCGTCTATAAAATCCATAAAGATAACCTCCCACACTTGTGATGGCACCGGTAGAGATTGCAAGAGGCGTGCAAGTGACCGAGAATCAGCCTTATTCCTTTGGCACAAGTCGCATGTTGCCAAATAATTCTGCACATCTTTCTTAATGCTATTCCAGTGAAAATCTTGAGCAATCCTCTTACATGGCCTTAGAACTCCTGAATGACCACCCGTCTTAAGAGTCATAAAACTCCTTGAGTAAACGTGGCTTCATGGTAGATTCTAGTTGAACCACTACACACCCCTTACACCATAACAAATTATCTTCACACATAGACAATCATCTTGTCAGGCTCTTCTTCTATATTATTCTTCACCTCTTGGACCCATGGATTTTCAGATGCTGCCCTTCATATTTTAGCCCACACCGTGAACTGAGGCTTGAGAGAGCCTAAAGGGTTGGTGACCCGCTTTCTCTAGACAATGAATCTACAACACTATTCTCCCTGCCAGGTCTTGCCAAGTCTGTCTATTATTTCATACTCATAACCAAGGGATTTGGTCACCCACATCAACTATTCTGGAGTAGAAACTCATTGTTCAAGGAAGAACTATAAGCTACATTATTCAGTCAGAATTTGAAATTTTCTTCCCAGGAGGTAGGGCCTCCAACAACGAATTGCTTCGACAATTGCCAGCATCTCTTTCAAATAAATAGGTCAAGCTTTTTTCCTTGGACGCAAGGCTCGACTTAAATATGCTACTGGCCGACGTTGTTGAAATAAAACAACCCCTATTTTTGCATCTTAAGCATTGGTTTCAATTACAAAGATTTCATTGAAATTAAGAATAGCCAATACTAGGGTTGTGGTCATGGCAACTTTTAGTTCTTTGAATGCCTTGTATGCCTTCTCATCCCGCTGAAATTGTCCTTTCTTCAGTAATTGTTTTAGTGGGGATGCAATAGTACCGTAATTGTGCACAAACTTACAGTAGTACCTAGCGAGTCCCAAGAATCCCGGCAACTAGGTGATATTATCAGGCCTTGGCCAATTCTTCATAGATGTAATTTTGCTTTCATCTACTTGTACTCCTTCATTAGAAATAAAATGCCCCAAATATTCCACCTTAACTTGCCCGCATGAACATTTAGAGCATTAAAAAAAAAAATTGTTGGCTTTACAAAATTTTGAAGACAACTCTAATGTGTTCTAAATGCAATGATTATATATCAAAAGTGACATTCATGGTTACTTGAACAATAATGGCGCATTAAACAATCTCAAAAGCATGACTAAATATTCATAATACCCGCTATGAGTTTGAAAAGCGATCTTGCTCATATCTGTTAGTTAAACTCGACTTTAATAATATCCAGCTTGAAGATCCAATCCTGCACGAATAATTAGTTAGCACTATAACACTTGTCAATCATATCATCCACCGTCGATATGGGATGGCGATCCTTAGCTTCATTTAATGCTCTATAATCTGTACAAAAATGTCATGCTATTAACCATGTTTTTTCTTAACTAGTTAAATTATTGAGGAAAAAGAACTATAACTATGATGGATGGTCCCACTTTTCAGCATCTTAGATACTTGGCATTCGATCTTGTTATTATAAAATGGTGCGTCCCTATAAGGGTGCACGTCGACAGCCCAGACTTATTTGTTTATAGTAATCGAGAATATGAAGAGAACAAGGGTTCAAAGATAGTAGATATTACAACTGGAACCTCAAAAAATAAGCAACGGTAATCTCAACTAGTTAGTTCAATTTATAATATATTCTAGATTTTTAATTTCAGTTAAAAGGCTAACTAATAAAAAATAAGGTAAAAAATAAAATTATAATTGACACGATTAAAAAATTGATATTTTTTTCTAAGTGTAGAAATGTTGAAGTAATAAATAACTCAACAAGATCAAGGTCGAAACACAGGAATGTTAACTATAATAATAATAATAATGATAAGATAAAGAGGTTTTTGAGATATAAGATTAATATGAGAATTAAATAATGATAAAAACAAATATCAAGATTAGAGGATCCACTAATAATATTTCAAACAAGTATACTATAAATTATTACTCAACGGGAAACCATACCCAAAGAAGGTTTTAATCAGATTAAAAATTATTAACATGATTGCATTAGTTATCTTGTTTGAATAATATTAATACTTGTAAATATTGCTAGGTATTCATGATTATAACTTATATTAATAACAAATTAAGTTCATTTCATAGCACAGGTATAGGTAATACCATAAGGTTGAGCTATAAAAGTGTCAAGTGTTTGTTGTATCAAGGTTATACAATATAAATCTAGATTAACTATTTAAGAAGCAAAGTATTAAAGTGAACACGATAATAAATACAAAATATGTTAGTATCAAACATTAATGTTCATATTTAGTTTATACTATACTTATTTTTATACTATTAGTGTAACATTTTCACTTTGATATAATAAACTTAGCTAAAAATAATAACAAAGAGAAATATAAATAAACAAAATAAAAATATAAATAAGATATAAGTTAACTAACTAAAGAAAAGGAAATGAAAGGCATACATAAGAAATTAATGAATGTAAAACTTAAGCATTACAAAAAGTATAAAGAAAGAGAACAAGAACATGATCTTGATCAGAAAATTAATATGCCTAAATGCATGAAAAATACCTTCTTTTATAGGCTAAAATTTGAAACTATTGATTTGATAACTAATTATTGAGTGGGTTGCCACATTTTAACTTAGTGACAATTCTTATCTTCTTGTCTAAACAAAACGTCATTGTTAATATCAGAACTTGAATAGACTTTTCACATGAAAGTTCTAGGAAATTATCTCAGCTTTCCAACAAAAAATTTTGGTTTTTTTGTACTTTTAGAACTTGAGATATGGCTGAACACAGAACAGTGTGTGGGTTGTAGGATAGATTCTAACTTCTCTGTTATTGCTAATATTTGAACTTCCAAGTACCAGAATTGTGTCTTGCATTCTACATGACTGTTGTAGGTCTATGTCTTAGCTTTCTAGTCATATAAACTAAATTGAAATGCAAGATCTACAGCTACAGATACGACCCAATGACTTAACAATGTTCTAGTTTGGACTAAACCAACATCTTTTTTCTAAGCTTCACCCTCTCTTTGTATTCTGAATTTCAGTAGTTAAACTCATCAATCAATCCTTTGATTTATATGATAAACCTGTATTTAAGATGAACATTTACTATAAATTAAAGGTATCTTACACTATCAAACTTGTTATTATAAAACATGCTTTAGTTAAGGAATTATTTATACTTAAAGTGCAAAATACTAATATAAAACCTTGATAAAAATGCACTTTTAAGTACTAATCAACTATGAAAGATTTCATTATGTTATAATGTATGCACATCTATTTTGGAATGTTCATATGAGCATGATGAAAGATCTACTATTATGTTATAAGGAATGTTAATTGATATGAAACATTTATACGAGTAATATGAATGGTATACATTGTGATAAAATAATTGCTAAATTATTATAGAATTTTGAATGAATATTATGATTAGCTTCGACTAATGACATCCTAAGAGGATGACCAAGACAAATTGATGATTATCTTCGACAAATAACATCTTAAGGGGATAACCAAGATGAATTGATGATTAACTTTGGTTAATGGCATCCTAGATGGATGGCTGGGTTGCATTAATGATTAGCTTCGGCTAAGGACATTTTAGATAGATAGCCAAGTTAAATATGACATCTAGCTTTGGCTAAGGGTATCCTAGATGGATTGCTGAGTTAATTATGATAATTAGCTATGGCTAATGGTATTTGTAAGAGATAACATGTTTGATCTTGTGATTAGTTTTAGTTAATGGTGACACGACAAAAAGATTAATGTCTTCTCCCAAGTGCAGGAGTGTCGAAGTAATAAATAACCCGGCAAGACCGGGGTCGAACCACAGGGAGGTTAATTGTAC